GGGGGGTTTTTTTTTTTTTTTTTTTTTTTATAAAATAACTAAATTAAAAAAATTAGTTTATAATATTTTTTTAATTTGCTATTCACTAAATTTATAATTTAATTAAAAAAAAAAAAGACAAAGAAACCTCTAAATTTTATCTAAAAAATACTCTTAATTTTTGTGTCAATAATATTTTAAAAATTCAAAAATATTTTTACAGTTATTTAAAAAATATCAAAAAATACCTTTGAGCTTTTTAATTATTTTTTAAAAACTTCAAAAATACATTTAAACTTTTAATTTTTTTTTTCTGTTATTATACAAACAAAATTGTTAAAAAATAGAGATACACATATAAAATCTTATATTGCTTTAAAATTTTATAATTATTTTAAAAATATAATACTAACATTTTTTTTTAAATTAAAAGGGTATTAATGAGAGTAATTTTCTTATTTAATTTTTTTTAAAAAAATTAAACAAAATATAAAATTTAGAAATATTTTTATTAATTTAACCGGTGGAGGTAACCAGTAATTCGTTTCTCCAACAAAAAAATCCATCCAAGTTCCCAAATGCCCACTGTTTTCTTCTTCCTCCATCTCCCATGGCGCCAACCAATATCATATCGATCCTCATAACCCGCGTAAACGCAGAGATGGCTGTAGATTGACCATCTCTAATCGACAGCTCGTTCTATCGATTCTTTCTGGTAACGGAATCTTTCTTCTTCTTCCTCTTGGAAATTTTTCTGTGCTGGTTTCTGTTTCAGGATTGTAGTTTCGTTTTTCCTCTTTTCTCTGTAACCTAACAACCATGAGTTTGATCACATCCTTTGGAAATGCTTCTCCATACTATAACTGCTTCACGAAATCATCGAAACGCTATAATCGTTCAAGCATTGAGTATCAATCGAAACTCGTGATTAGGAATGTGAAATACTTTCGGTTCAAATCTCTGAAATGCATTCGATATTGTGATTCTGATTCTGATTCTGATTCAAGCTCCTCGATGATAATGCGATCTCAAAAACCTAGCGCAATGATACCTGAACTCGTCGCTGATAAACTTGAACGGCTTGTGAGCGAATTCGAGGCTCTTGAAAAGCCGATTGATCGAGTGAAGAGGCTTTTGCATTACGCTACGTTTCTGGCTCCAATGGATAAATCGGCTCTGGTTTCTGGAAACAGAGTCGCAGGATGTACGGTTGAGGTATGGTTGGAAGTGAAAATGGACGATAATGGAAGGATGAGATTCAAAGCGGACAGTGATTCTGAAATTACAAAAGGATTCTGTTCTTGCTTGATATGGATGATGAACGGGGCGGAGGCTACGGAGGTTTTGGCAGTGAAGATTGAGGATTTGGCGGCCCTGAATTTGGGGTCTCCGATCAAGGCGCAATCCAGAGTAAATACTTGGCAAAATGTGTTGATTAGTATGCAACAAAGAACCAGTGATTTAGTTTCAGAGAAAAATGGAGAATCGCCTTAGGAGTTCTTGTTCCTTCCCATTGCCATTAATGGCGAAGATTTTGGTATAGACAAGCAAGTAAATGTTGGATGAATAAATGGAGTTTGAAATTTAGAAACTTCTGAAAACCTTGAAAGTAGATTCAAATTGTGTTCGTCTTTGATGCATAGTTTTAATCTCTCAAAACCTATCGTTGACACATTTGTTTGGAGATTGGAGTATACTACATAATTGTGCTTCAAATTAAGCTCCTTTTCTTGGTTATAATATGATTTAGAAATTGATGTAAGTAAATTATAAAGGGTGTTTATAAAATTTAGACATATGCTTGTGTGGTCAAATTTTGGAAAGGTTAATAGCTTTACGTGACAATAATGATAAAAATTGTTTAAGAAAAGAAATGTGGTCTGCAAAATAATAAAATCATGCACTTCGGTGTGGTGTTTGTTCAAAGTGTGTTGCTTGTAGCCAGCATGCCTATATCATATCGAAACCTTTTTACTTATTGTCATCGCTTTAGCTCATGTTCAAGCTCCAGCCCTGAAAAAACTGCCATATTAGAATTCGTTAGGTCATAGTCGCATTAAAGACCGAAACGATGTCGGCAACAAAATAGTCGGCTAAATCGCAAGTTGAGCGACTCACGAAGATTGAATGTGAAATGTTGTTCCTTAAAGAAGTCCCCGACATAGTTCGTTTCCTGGAAGAACGAGTCGTAGAATTAAATAAATTAAAAATTCGGTGGAATTAGAGCTATGAGCACCCGTTTCGATGAGTTGTCAATCAAAAAACTAACATTTAAGGTTGAATCCCTAAAAAAAGAGCAACACGACCAAGTAGCTTAGAACACAGATGTAGCACTGAGAGTTCTATCGCACACATGGAAGAACATATCGGAGAGCTAGATAAAAAAAAACCATGTTAAAGCTTTTTAACGAGTTTACTGAAGATTTCAAGGCAAAAATAAATGTCATTACGACAAAGATGATCGAAATAAACACTTGAGTAAACTTGACCATGTAGGTCATAGAAAATCAAATCTTAAGTTAGCCCAGGATCAACAAACTGAAAATCTTGGAATTCAAGGTCTTTAAAGGAAATAGGGATACGAAGAAGCTCGAAATTTCATCTTTAACGTCAAGCAATACTTCAAAGTCATGAGGACCTATTCGAAAGAGCTCAAAGTTACCCTAGCCACAATGCATCTCATATATGATGCAAATGGTGACGTTCGAAGGTGACTGACATGCAAAATGGGTAATGTACCATAAATACATAGGAAGACCTTAAGAAGGAGTTGAGGACTCAGTTCTTCCCTGAGAATGTAGAATTTATAACGAGGTGAACACTACGCGAATTGAAACACAACAAAGATATCAAGGACTATGTTAAGACGTTCTCGATCTTGATACTAGATATTAGAGATATGTTTGAGAAGGACAAGTGTTTTGCTTTGTCGAAGGATTGCAACCTTTGGAGAGAACAAAACTATATAAACAAAAAGGTTCAAGACTCTATGAACAGACTCTATGAACAAACTAATGGGTTCGAGGATCAAGAACCGAATAAACCAAATGGGCTTTTTCGGTCAAAAGTGCATCAACTTCTTGGGACATGTCACGAAAGATGGTGATAAAATCAAGCTCATCAAAGAAGGGCGAGTCCCCACCTCGGTGACCAAGGTGTAATCTTTCCTGGACTAGCCAACTATTATCGACTGCTTCATCGAAATATTTTCAAGACGAACCACCCTACTAACAAAATTATTAAAGAAGGCAACAATGTCGAGGAAGTTTGTCCTCAGCTTGGTCGATGTACCAAAACCCTTAAAACATATGCATCTTGGAGAGAAAACAAAATTTAAAAATTTGTATTCAAACTAAAAGCTAAGATTTTTTCATTCAAGATTCAAGTTTGAATTATTTAAAATTGAAATTTTGTGTAGTCGTGAATTTGATGTGACCTCGGAGGGACCAAATGTAACATGCTCGACACAGATATCAATGCCAACATAAGTCCACATCATGATCATGACAAGAACTTCCTTCCAAATCAAACACAAATGAATGAATTTAATATAGAAATGGTAAAACCAAATTCAATACTTCAAATAATTAAATTTCTCCAAACAAAATTACCCATTGAAGCTTAAAAGAATCCCACAACAAGATCTTATCTGCTTCTGTTCCTAAATAAAAACAGAACATCAACCAACTCTGTCTCTCTGCCATGGACTCCCATTCCTTAATGTTTGCTGTCTTGGTACTGTCACTCACTCCATGCTCTGTCCTGGCCCGAAAGCCCTGCAATTTCCCGGCCATTTTCAATTTCGGCGACTCCAATTCCGACACCGGCGGCCTCTCCGCCCTCTTATGGCAGGCCCCTCCACCCAATGGCATGTCCTATTTCCACGCCCCCGCCGGCCGATACTGCGACGGCCGCCTCATCGTTGATTTCATGGGTATTACTTTTCAAGTTCTCTGAGATCTAATCATGAAATTTCTTCAATTTTAATGGGGTTTTCTGGTTCATTTCATTTAGCCAAAAGCTTTGGATTGCCTTATCTTAGTGCTTATCTCAATGCATTGGGAGCCAATTTCAGCCACGGAGCCAATTTCGCCACTGCTGCCTCAAGCATTAGGCCACAAACCATAACTCTTATGCAGCCGGGTGGTGTTAGCCCCATTTCTCTTGATGTTCAATACAATGAATTCTATGACTTTCGTCGTAGATCCCAGACCGTTCGTAATCGATGTGAGTTCTTGTTTCTCCAAATGGGTCTGTCAAAATTTTGGCAAATTTTGATATCGATGACCATGTTTTATGTTTGAACTTCCTTGTCAGTGGGTGGTTTTTTTAAGTCCTTATTGCCGAAGGAAACGAGCTTCGGTCGGGCTTTGTACACGTTTGATATTGGTCAGAATGATTTGACGAGTGGTTACTTCTCGAATATGACTGTCGAACAAGTTCGAGATTACATCCCTCAAGTGCTCCATCAGTTCTCCACTATTGTCAAGGTTAGTGTCATTTATAGAATAAACTTGATTTAGTAGAATACAATACCCGAATAAGTTTGATAGAATTGTTAGTAGATTTAATAGAATAAGTTACTGACTTGCAACTACAGCTCTTAAGTTTTTCGTTTACTTCTTTACTTGTTTAGACATATTTCGATCTTGGATTAAATCCAACTTTTACACCTTTTTTTATACCTATTTTTGACATGCTTTCTACGGACATGACCGGACAATTTTTATAAACAATTTTAATGTAATGCAGTGGGTACACAGTCAAGGAGGAAGGTTCTTCTGGATCCATAACACAGGCCCGGTGGGGTGCCTTCCATATGTATTGAGTCGAATGCCTGTTTCACCCTCCGACTACGACCGATATGGATGTGCCATTCCTTTCAATGACTTGGCTCAAACTTTCAACTGCGGCCTGAAGAAAGTTGTGGCTGAGCTTCGCGCAGCTTTACCCGATGCCACACTCACATACGTCGATGTTTACTCTCTCAAATACACCCTCGTTAGCCAACATAAAAAACATGGTATTTCGAGGAGATATTATTAAATTTACCATATTCATTCGGAAACTTTATGAGTTTAAACTGAGATGAAATTGAAATCTAGGGTTCGAGTTTCCATTGAGAACGTGTTGTGGGCATGGTGGAAAGTATAACTTCAACGTGAAGCTTGGATGTGGAGGAACGAAACGGGTCAATGGGAAGGATGTTTTGATTGGAAAGGCTTGCAAGAAGCCAGAAGTGTATGTGAATTGGGATGGTATACATTATACGGAGGCAGCTAACAAATGGATCTTCAATAAGATCAAAACCGGTGCTTATTCTGATCCACCAATTCCTTTGGAGATGGCTTGTCACAGAGACTAATCTAAATCTAGTCCGATTATTGTAATGCTTTGCTTTCGAGATATAGATCGGCTTCGTGCATCTCGATGTTTGTCGAAGGTGTTCCTAAGGTATGCCCTTCCGGTGGGCTATTCTCTTCTCTATCTTTTCCATCTAATGCCCACATAGCGTTAGAAAATCTGTGTCTTCGATCTCTTTGCGCAATGCAATATATCAGTCTCTTTTTCTCAGCATCTGCTTTTTAAGTGTTCTATCACCCTTTTCTCTCTCTATCTTTTTGGCCTTTTATGCCGACATGAGATATAAACTAGATCAACAGGTTCATTATACCATACAAACCTAGCTACTCACACTAAACTCATTATTCGGCTGAGATGAACCATAATTTGAGTTGGGCTACAGAGAACTGTACGACTTTCTATCTAAAAGAAGTGTATAAAATCTATCGATGTAGTGCTTGGATACGAATCTTTAACGACCCACTACTCGAGAGATTTGAACCTCAAACGGCCACTAACTGACAATACATTTTGAAGATACGCGGTAATTTAAAATAGTTAAAACATGCATACACTAGTTATACACCAGTTTAAGTCAATATAAGTTCAAACAAAAGTGACCAATTTACCCTTCGGGGTTGACTTTGATCGATTTTCCAAATTTTTAACTATTTATTTTTATATTTTTCTTGAATTTTTGAGATTTTTCCAAACGTTTGTGCCTCATCTTGAAATTCTACCCGAAGAAAGAGAGAATAAAATGTTAAGAGACTTGGTGGCATCCTAAAAATTGAAATCGATATGGATATCTACACGAAGCTGATGGTCTAATATCTGACTCAAGAACAAGTAAAAGGGGAATTCGAAGTACTACAATGGATCATCGAGAACGTGTAAACTGAATTGAGATAGGCAAGCAAATGTCTTCTATATTTTCAACACTCTCTAGCTATGTTATATGTCATCGATCAAGTTGGTTGAGTTATGGGCCATTTGAATAACCTTATTTTATTGATATTTATGATTGATTTAGAAGGGACGTTCATGACTCGAAAACTCGGCTAATCTAGACTAACCAATCCAAACCATAGATTTTCTTCAGGTTGGATTGAGTTGAATTCTTGAAAACCGAAAAATTCAGATCGGTTTGTGGGTTGACATTCTTTTGGTTGAGTCAACTCGAGTAACTTGAAAATAAGGTTACAATCTAATCCAACTCTATCATACTTGTAATATTATTACAAAGATTGGGAATAATTTTGAGTTTATAACCCACGCGAGTGATCTTGTAACTTGTAAATGTTTGATATTTGAGTTTTATAAATTTAAAAAAGAACTCGAGGACCCAATTCAATTTTATCGAAAGAAAGTTACCCACGAAAGCCCATTGTGAGATTCCACATCAGTTGTAGAGGAAAACTAGTGTCAGCTATGACGCTCGGCCCTGAAGAGGATGGATTGTTAGATCCATATTAACTGGAAAAAAGAACAAATCATTTTTTTATAGCGGTGTGAAAACCCTCCTTAGCAGATACGTTTTAAATGTGTGAGGTTGACCGCAATATGTAGAGCCGAAATAGACAATGTCTGCTGACAGTAGACTTAGGTTATTACAAATGATATTAGAGTCAGATACTGAACACCATGTCAGTGAGAATGCTAGGCTTTGAGTAGATAGTGGATTGAAAGATCCCACTTTAGTTGGAGAGGATACTCATGAGACTGACAACGATATAGACCGAGACAGATAGTATCTATTAGCGATGAGTTGGACCGACCCATAGATCTTATCTTCTTCAATCCTAAATCTAAAGAGACCCACTTCACCGACTCCCTTGTCTGCATATGCGCACCATCGTTCACTCACATTGTGAACTCTCTCTCTCTCTCTCTCTCTCTCTCTCTTTTTCTCTCTCATGGAGTGCCATTCCTTAATGATTGCTGTCTTCGCACTTCTACTGGTTCCACACTCTGTCCTAGCCCGGAAGCCCTGCAATTTCCCGGCCGTTTTCAACTTCGGCGACTCCAACTCTGACACCGGCGGCCTCTCCGCCGTCTTCGGACAGGCCCCGCCGCCCAATGGCATGTCCTATTTCCATGGTCCCGCCGGCCGCTACTGCGACGGCCGCCTCGTCATTGATTTCATAGGTATTTATTTAAAAGTTCTCTGAGATCTCGCCTTGAAATTTCTTCAACTTTAATGGGTTTTTCTGGTTCATTTGATTCTAGCCCAAAGCCTTGGATTGCCTTATCTTAGCGCTTATCTCAATGCATTGGGAGCCAATTTCAGTCATGGAGCCAATTTTGCGACCGCTGGCTCAACTGTTAGGCCACAGAACAGGACTCTTCAGCAGAGTGGATTTAGCCCCATTTCTCTCGATGTTCAGTACAATGAATTCTATGACTTTCGTCGTAGATCTCAGACCGTTCGTAATCGATGTGAGTTCGTGTTTCTCCAAATGGATCTCCCAAAATTTGGGCAAATTTTGATATCAATGACCATATTTTATGTTTGAACTTCCTTGTCAGTGGGTGGTTTTTTTAAGCCATTATTGCCGAAGGAAACGAGCTTCGGTCAAGCGCTATACACGTTTGATATTGGTCAGAACGACTTGACAAGTGGTTACTTCGCCAATATGACTGTCGAACAAGTTCGAGATTACATCCCTCAAGTGCTCGACCAGTTCTCCACTATTGTCAAGGTTAGTCGTTAATAAACTTGATCAATTAGAATAAATAAGTTGAGTAGAATTGTTAGTAGATTTAATAGAATAAGTTACTAACATACGTAGCAACTATCGGAGAATTGGTAGTAGTTGACATTATTAGTAGACTTAATAGATTAATACGGTAGAATTGGTAATAGTTGTCAAATTGTAGACCGTAGTTAGTACTTCCACCCTATATACTCATTAGATGTATTTTTGTAAACAATTTTACTGTAACGTAGTGGGTGCACAGTCAAGGGGGAAGGTTCTTCTGGATCCATAACACAGGCCCGGTGGGGTGCCTTCCATATGTATTGGACCGAATGCCCGTTTCACCCTCCGACTACGACCAATATGGATGTGCCATTCCTTTCAATGACTTGGCTCAAACTTTCAACCGCGGTCTCAAGGACGCTGTGGTTGAGCTTCGCGCCGCCTTGCCTGATGCCGCCCTCACTTACGTTGATATCTACTCCCTCAAATACGACCTCGTTAGCCAACATAAAAAATATGGTAATTCATTCATTTGAATTTTTAGGCTTAGCACGACTTTTACGAGTTTAAACTGAAATGTAGGTTTTGAGTTTCCATTGAGAACGTGTTGTGGGCATGGTGGAAAGTACAATTTCAATGTGAAGCTTGGATGTGCGGGAAAGAAACGGATGAATGGGAAAGATGTCTTGATTGGAAAAGCTTGCGAAAAGCCAGAAGTGTATGTGAATTGGGATGGCGTTCATTATACTCAGGCTGCTAACAAATGGATCTTCAATCATATTAAAACGGGTGCTTATTCAGATCCACCCATCCCTTTGGAGATGGCTTGCCATAGAGCCTAATTTAATCCTATCCCGTTACTATCATACTCTAGTTGTTGCTTTCTGCAATCCATGATCCCATTTGAAGGGCTCGACACGAACCATCTTATCTTATCTAAGTCCGAGTTTACCCTTGCATTTCAGAGTTTAGTTTAAGTTAATCTTCAATTTGATTTTATGTCTCGATGATTTAATGGTATGAACGGTCTGAACAAAAATTTTCATAAATCTAATGAAAACAATGTTTTTTACTCATGTATCTTTAATTTTTCTCTTAATTAGCCAACGTGAAACTTTGGTCACACAAACAATTATATCCTCGAACAAAATACCACCATGTCTCCCCTCAAATAGTCATCTATCTCTTTTAACACTTCATTGGTAGGCTCTTTAGCTCCTTCCAAAGACAGGGGCACCGATCGTTTGAATTCTAAAGGCTCTTGTCGGGAAGAATTTCATCTAACATAGAAAAGCCTGATAGAGTATACAGTCTAAAGGGGCTCTCTAAGTTTTTGATGGATTTGAGGCCTAAGTTCGAGAATGTTAGATACTCAATTCAACATCGAGTTACTTCACGGACGTTGATAGAGATTTTTCTGATGTGAGATCTAAAGAGACTCAACTTGAGCCCCAAAACTAGGTTGGGTACATGGGTCGATCTTTCTTTTCTTATTGATGAAATATTAACGTGAGAGAGCAAACAAGAAAATGACACTAAACAAAACAGAAACAGAAAGACGTATGTTAGTTAAGAGGGACACATCACGAGTATTTATTATTATACTCAATGCAAGCATCACTAAGGTCATAGTCTAAAATATAAATATTCTCAATTATCGAATTTATAAAGAGAGATAAAACATTTCATGGTCAAGTCTGATACAAACTCATTATACATAATACCCTCACTCATAATACGATGACGAGTGTCTATGATGTATAAGTTGATGATGATAAAAGGGACCAATAGATAGTTAATCAAGATGTCCTAGAACTCCGGGAATGAACTTATGGGAAAGTGAGCTCAAAATAGCCAAACCCTGAAAATTGACGGCCCAAATAGAGTTAAGAGAGGAGAACCTAATGACTTTTACATCATTAAGTCGAGCTTAGGTGGAATAAAATTTACCTAGGAGATAGCCTAGGAACACCTACTTACGAACAAGATTTCTAAGTACGAATAAGACATGGAACAAATGAACAAACTAATGGTAATGTACAAACACATTACCTATCATGCTATTTTAATCTTTTCATATGAAGGCTAGATGATTGTGTACGAGCTCGAGAACTGATATGGAACTTTGTAGTTGTGCTTACCCATCGCATGTGAGATACTTGAAACTTATATGTAACAGCCCATCTCACAATCGACCTTCTTCGGGATCTGGCGTCCTTGCTTGCATTCATTCCTCTCTTTAATCAATGTGGGATCTCACAATCCACTTTCTTTCAGGGCCTAGTGTCCTTGTTGGCACACTGCCTAGTGTCTACTTCCTTCGAGGTTCAATGTCCTTGTTGGCACACTGCCTATTCGGTGTCTGGCTCTAATTCCATTTTGGTGACTGGTCATACACCCCTATATTGACACAACATAAAATAGTAAAAGTCTATCTAAGACAAAAGCATGTAAAAGGGGTTTGGAACGAGCATGAGTCATAGCCAACATGTCTTCAACAAGCATGATCGGAGTATTCAACATGCGGTTGTAGACAATACACCTTGGACAAGCATAACCATAACACAGTGTACAGACAAGATGGGTTTGGGTTAAGGCGTGTGGTCATGGACAAAATGTCCTCGAA